GAAAGCTTCTGAGAGCCATGCTCTGCTATCACCTCTTCCTGAAAGGCCTCCTCTCCCCACAGGCGCCAGCACCTCCCCTACATGCCCCACACCCTCTGTGACTCCAGGGCAGCATAAACAATCCTGCGACTGCTTCATGTGTCACTCCAAGCAGAGAGGAAACCTTCTCAGTGAGCAGGACTCTCGGGGGTGCCCCGGGCCAACCCATTCTATTCTAGGTGGCCATCTTGGCTGTGGGTAGCAAAGCCTTTGGAGCCATGACCAGTGAGGGCAGGGTGTGTCCCACGGCCACCCAGGGACATGAGCTCAGCCTACCTCTGGCAGGTTCTGAGTGATGGAGCCGTGGCCGCACAGTACTGATGACAGCCCAGTCGGGTTCATAGCCAGGGTCAAAGGTGGGTTCCTCCTCAGAGGTACAGGGGTCACCCCCACTTGCATCCTTGGGAGAAAAGAGGACAGCAGGGACTATGGATTCAAGGTTGCCAGATCTGAGCCTTGAGGCCTCACGAGAAGGCAGCCCCGTGGAACAAGGAGAAAAATAGGCACAAGGAAACACAGCTCTTACTCAGGGTTACCAGCACAGCCAAGCAGGAGCTAGAATTTGACCTCAAGTCTCCCAGTGCTCAAAGAGATAATGCTACACAGAACACAGCTCTGCTGTGAGACCTCCTCAGGCTATGGTGCATAAGGCAACCTGCAAGGACACAAGCCTACCAGGACAGCGACACATGATGACAAGGACGCAGAGAAACTGGCACCCCCTCAGACACTGCTGATGGGGTGTGAGATGGTGCCACTGTGCTGCAAGAGGCTGGTTCTCAAAAGGTTACACACTGGGCCAGCAATTCCACTCCTACGTATGTGCCCACAAGAAATGAAAGTGTGTCCGCAGAAAGAGACACGCAGTCACAACAGCGTGGCCCATCACGGCAACAGGTGGAAACACGAGGAAGCAAAATGTCAAATGTCCAGAAGACGTCAAGGTGAGGACTGTTCAGCCTGAAGAGGTATAAAACACTTCACAGCTCTGCGAATACGCCCAACTATGCACTTTTACATTTTATGGTGAGACAGGAGCTCAGGATATTCCAGGCTGGCCTTGAACTTATGACAATCATGCCTCAACCTCCTCAGTGCCAGGATTATATAATACGGTGTGTGCTGGGGACTGAACTCAGGATCTTGTGCTTGCCAGGCAGGTACTTAGGCCACTGAGTCACCTCCCTGTCCTATATAAAGTTTTAAAACTCTTACTATAAATTAAACTTTTTGCTGAGTTAACACACCTATAATATTCAAATAACGGAACTAAACTAAACAGATGAATGTCCATTTTGTATCTGTGTATTCAAAATGGTTAGGATAGATATATAGTTACATTCTCTTAATGAATAAAGAAATCTGTTGTAATAGTGTTTGTAAATAGGATATCATGTCCGCATCTTGTACAGCAAATAACCAGTAGGAAGAATGCATGCAATGTGTTAATTATTGAAGCTGTCCTACCAATTTGATTTGAAACTGTCTCATTGCTATTTGTTTCACAATAAAATTATGGAAAAAAATTAAACTTTTATGGTGAGTGAAATATTTTTTATTAGGATATTTTTGTGTATTTTGTGGGCTGTTTTTTTTTAATGTATTTGCTACAGGGTCTCACTATGCAGCTCACATTCCTAGCGATCCTCCTAGGGGGTTCCCGGGGTTTCTCTATAATCCCAGCGCGGGGTTTTCAGCCTCCCCAGTGCTGGGATTATAGGCCTGCACCACCATGCCTGGACTAGGCTGCTGGCTCAGCACACCTGGGGATGGGGCCAGCGCAGCATGTGGTGCTGGGGACTAAACCCTGGCCCCTGCATGTGCCTAAGAAGGCACTTAATCCGCTGAGCTACTTCACCAACCCTATTTTTTAGTTTTTCGAGACAGAGTCTTGCCATTTAGTTCAGGCAGGCCTAGAACTCACTATGTAGCCAAGATCGCCCTCAAACTCATGGCAATCCTCCTGCATCAGCCTCCTAATTGCTGGGATTACAGGTGTGCACTACCACACCCAGCTAATTATATCTTTTTTTTTTTTTCATTTTCTTTCTTTTTTTAAAAATTTATTTATTTTGTGTGTGTGTGTGTGTGTGTGTGTGTGTGTGTGTGTCCAGCTCAGCCCACCAGGGGGCAGGGCTGGCTGGCATGTGGTGCTGGGGGATTGAACCGCAGTCCCCATGCTTTGCTAAGCTTGTTCTAAGTAGGTGCTTTAGACCACTGAGCCATCTCACCAGCCCAAGCTAATTATATCTTACTGGGTCCGGGAGATGGCTCAGTAAAATAAGCGCTTCCCTGGCAAGCACAAGGGCCTGAATTCAATCCCTGGTTCCACAAAAAAATAAAAAATATTTACATTTTATCAAAGGAAAAAAGAGTGATTTGCTCATGGATTTTTATGAAAATATCACTGTCCCCAGTGCAAGACACAGTAAGAACCATAAACAGTGGCTGCTACCAGTGTTTTTAGCTTGGGAGGCAGGAACTGAGAAATGATACACACAGGAGTACTGAGGACTGTGGTGTTGGTGACATTCCAGGACAGGAAGGGGACAGAGTGTATGGAACTGCAAGAGAGAGAGCAATCCAGGGAGTAGGCTCAGGCTGATGGCAGCAGACACCTCAGACCCCTGCCAGCAACTGGAATTCCCAGCTGCACTGTCCCTTCACACACTAGCAGAGCACCCGTCTTTCCTTAAGTAAACTTTTTTTTTTTTTTTTGTATTTTAGCGAAGAGTCTACAGGGTGTTCAGGGTCTCACTACTACATTGGATGTCTGTTTACAGCCTCTCAAGTGCTGGGGTGACAGGCTCGCACCACCACGCCCAGCCTCCATCGCTGTGTCAGGGTGCCCTGGGGGCCGGGCCGTCACGGCAGGCCGGGGATCAAACCCCCAGCCCCTGTGCCCGCTTGCAGGCCCTTTAATCCGCTGAGCTACTTGGCCAGCCCATGTGAACATTTTCAATACACTTCAAGCAGAAAAAAGAAAGAGAGCTCAGACAGGACCAGGCTCCCAGCCAGACTTACACTGGCCTGCCCCAAGGCACGTCGGCCATCCGGGGACCCTGGCCCTTCAATGCCTTAGCGTAGGAGCCTACCTTCTTGGAGAAGAGGATTTGGGTGGCATCTCCAGCCTCTTCCACAGGAGCCCAGTATAAGAGGACGTCATTGTCCTGAGGGAAGTGGTGAGTCGTCAGTGGGCTCAACAGTCCACCCGAAAGCTTTCCATTATAATTTCTAAACTTGTGCCGTCTCCACTCTTAGCTTTCCAAAGTCTTTTCCTGACGGCAATTCCCACCCCATCCTTCTAAATTCCCAGAGCTAACCTCCAGACAAGACTCCTACAAATACTGCTTCAATCCTGCCGGGTGCCGCCCCAGCCCTGCCTCCTCCTGGCCCACCTTCTCCACAACACGGATGATGCCCGCGATGAGGGAGTCCGGGTCCTGGTGCTTTCGGGCGCTGGTGTGCAGATACACGCCTCCCTTCTCAAACACCACCTAGGGGTGGGAGCCAGTGAGAACCCCGCGGGCGGGGGAAGTCGCGCAGGAGGCGAGGCCTGTTCTGAGCCAATAGGGACGCGGAAGGGGAGGAACTATAGCCAGGAGGCGGGGCCCGGGGAGATCGCAGGTGAGGTTAGGGCGTGGCCGAGACAAACCCCGCCCCGCGTCTGTGGGTGTGCGCTCCAAAGGGGCGGGGCTAGAAGATCAGTCCCCCGGGACTTTGGAGGGTGACAGCGTGTTTGTAGGCAAACAGAGTTTGATAAGGTTCTTCCTGTTTCCCAGAGGCCCCGTGCGGAGTGAGGGAAAAGCAAACCAGGGGACCAAGGAAGGCGTATCCTATAGACAGAAGCGAGGGAATGGGTTAGTAGTACTTACCCTGTAGCCAGATCCTTCCATAGCCGCCGCCAAAACACCACTGTCCCAGCCTCCTCCTTTTCCGGGTCAACGTAATGTCACATCCGGAAAATATACTCCCTATCAAGACCAGAGAGTGGTAGCGCCCCTACTATTCTACAGCAAGAGTAGGAGAAACCATCTTTCAGGGTAGGGTGGTTGAACCTGAGCGAGTGTTCAAGTCACGTGGCTCAGATGGTGGGCAGCAAGCCAGCATAGTGCGCAGGCGCAGTGGTTGTAGTCTCCCTAAGAAGTAAACAAGTGGGAGGACTCTGAAGTTCTACCCCTTTGCTCCAACGATCCCCGAAACTCCCACCTCTCCATACTATATTCTGGCATCGAAGCTATAAAGGTGCCATTTTATTCCAGGGCAAGCCTTAGCGGGTTGGTCATGCTAATGTGGGGCAGTCCCATCTCCCTGCGGGGCGCGACAGCGCCGTACTGGAAAAGAGGACCACATAAAGGAAAAGGTGAGAGGAATTGTGTATCACAAGAGGTGCTAAAGGACCCGAAAGAACGGGATGAAGCCCTCAGTGCCAAAGAAGCCGTCGCAGAATTCCTGAAATCACTGAAGGAAGGGGGAAAAAAAAAATGCTGAGACACCATTTGGAAGTTGGGCAAATCGAGTTTATCGGATTTTTGCCAGCCTTGGTGTTGGGGAGGGCTAGATTGGAGAGAGAACACGTGTGTGTGTATATATGTGGGCAGATGAAGCCAACTAGCTGCCATGTTTGTTACGGGCTACCCTTTCCTCCACTTCTCTGGAAGTTGATTATCGATAAGCGACGTCATATCGCTTGCTTTAGTTTATGGTGGTCCTGGGTAAGCATCCGTGAACAGCCATGTTTCTTGGGGGTCAATCGAAGTGATCTAGCCTGTTTTCTGCTTGGCCTTTCGCCACATTTCTTATGGGCACTCTGCTGTTGCCCGGCAGAAGCCTCCGTAGCCACGTTGGTCTCTGGCGGCCTGGACAAGGGAGGTGGAATGGGCAGAGTGCAGGAGGGGCAGGGAAACGGAAGTGACGCAAGGCACCGCCATGCCTTTTGAGGGCGGCGACGGCGCCAGGCTGGCCATGCTGGCTACGGGCACGTGAGTGGAGGCGGCGTTGTGAACCGCGGTGTGGGGAGGATTTGGCGGCCCCGAGGCCGAAGGGGCGCTGGGAGGGCGAGCGGCTCATGAAGGGGTACGGCCTACATAGACCAGAGGACAGAATTTGTCCAGAGGCTCTTGTCTGAGCGCTGGCAAGGAGCCGCCCCCGGGAACGGTCCTGTCTAGCCCGAGACAAATCCTACACAGCCTTGTCTTCGGCCACCAGACCTCCTGGACGGCTTCCTTTAGCGGTGGACCATGTCCACGGGATTGGGGGTCAATCGCGGGATTCGGGGGCTCCCCTCACCCTTCCAAGGGCGGGACTTCCGGTCCTGGCTCCCACCTGGGCGGGATTTCCTGTTTTCTTCCTGGAGCAGTGGGTCTGCCCTGGACCCCGGGCGCGGTGGGGAGGAGCCTGCGCGGCGGAGCGGGGCCCCGACGCTCACCCGGCCTCCTGCATGATCGCGTTCTCCACGCCTGCGGGTGAGGGCTGCCTACGGCTTGACGGCGGGAGGGGGTCGCTGGCATCCCTCGCCTCGGGGGACTTCGCCCTGTTGTCATGTCCTCCTGGAACCACTTTGCTCCTCCTCTCGTCCTCACCTCTCTTCTCCCTACTCATTCTAAGGCGACCTTCCTCACCCCCGCATCTCTCCCTAAGTTAAACTAATGCATTGAGGTCGGGGCACCCCTCCAGCCGACAGGACTTCCTCTAGAGGGGAGGGGTCCCGAGGCGCCCGCTCCTGGCTGCTGCCCTGTTGACTAACTGAGGCCCCAGCCCCTGGCCGAGCAGTTCGTGTGACGCTTCCCTCCCCCCTTTTTTGTGCCTGCCTCCTCTAATAGGAGAGTCACCATCCACTCGCCCCCCATTTTCAGTGTTCAGCCCTGTGGCTACCCGGGTGGCCCCCTTCCCCTCACCTCCATGGCAGGAGGAGCTGGGACCCAGAGAACAAGAACCCAGGCCCAGATGCCAGGCTGCGTGGCCTTGGACCAGTCACCTCCCTCTGAGCCTCGGTTTCTTTCTCAGATGGGAGGAACTGGTGCTGTACAGAAGTGACACAGCTCTGCCCATTGGTGTGGCGTGTATGGGTCAGGCAGAAGCAGTTTCAGCCCCACTCTTTCTTTGGCTGGCTGTGTGCCTTCTGGCCAGTGTCTTAAACTCCCTGAGCCTGTCCCCATCTGGTGAGATCACAGTGCTCACCTCCTGAGGCAGCACGATGGCAGAATTAAGAACTGGCTGAGTCCCAGCCCAGCTGGGCCCAAGTTTATGACTGTAAAATGGGGTGACAACAGCTCCTCCCTCAGGGAGGTGGAGGGTAAATGCCAGTCCTGCCTCCCTCCCAACTGGCCTGGCCTGTGAGGTCCCGAGGTCACAGCCCCTAGAGGCAGGAAGTGAAGTGACAGGGCGGAGCCCTGCACAGGTACTCAGCAGACCCTAGTGTCCAGGACTTTGAGTTGCCAAGGGCCTGCAAGTTGAATTCAGGCTCCAGACTTGGCTTGTCGCTCTTGTGGCCCTGGGAGGCTTGAATCTTTCCACGGTGGGACGCTCACTGACCTTCTGGGGCGGCTGCTCAGCTCCCAGCAGCCCTGGCTCCACTGCTCTGAACAACAGGTACAGAGACAGTGGTCCAGGGTCACACAGCAGGCTGGAGTCAGGGCAGGAGGCTCACTGTCTGTGTGGAGCATAGGCCCGTGCCCCGATACGGGTTCCCACCCTTGGGAGTCTACAGTGTGGTGGAGAAGGCAGGCAATGGGACAGCTGTCACTAGCTCGGGTGATGTGAGCTAGGATCACAGGACCAAGGGAAGATGGCTCCAGGAGGTGCCAGGACAGCGCTATGGAAGCAGTTGAAAGAGTCCTGATGCATTTCCAGCGCGGAGCAGCTCCCAGGCCATTTTTGCTTTTATTTCACCCCTGCATTCAGCCATTCAGTGACAGGTCCACATAGTTCTGTCCCGAGGGGCGTGTGTGTATTAGGTTGCCCAGAGGAGGGGACTGGCTCTGTCTAGGTGGGCAAAGTCTTATCCACTAGATGAGTGACAGATTGGCAGCCAATGCAGGACCAGTGCCCCGGGTACAGAGCCAGGATCACAGTCAGGTCAGAGAGACACCTCCCCCCACCGGCCTTTTGCAGGGTGAGCCAGGGGCTCCCCAGAGATGTAGCGCTGGTCACACATGCAGCTTAAAATGTCACAGAAGACAGATGCCATTTACATTGGCTACATGCCTAGTTTTAGCCAGTGTAACTAACATGTCATCTTTTCAGCATAGAATCAGTGTTGTCACGCAGATTGTTTCTCTGGTCATTTTGCCTCTTGCCTGTTTGTACTGTGTGCAAACTGTGGGTGGTGGGTGCCTCGGATGTTCCAAGCACGTCCTGAGGACATAGGATAGGCAGGGCCAGGAGGAGACGACGGCTGCAGGAGGACACGCAGCCCTGGCCAGGAGGGTGGAGATGGAGCAAGGGGTGGCAGCAAAGGGTCCTGAGGGGCACATTTGAAGAGCCACCCAGCTCTGGGAGCAAGGTGGAAGCAAGGGCCAGCCAGGACACCAGGGTGGGGTGGGAACGCGCGCAGGCCAGGCCTCAGCCCTTCTGCTCTGCCCACAGGGCGCCGATGGCGGCAGGGCGGCCGGAGGAGCTATGGGAGGCCGTGGTGGGGGCCGCCGAGCGCTTCCGGGCCCGGACTGGCACCGAGCTAGTGCTGCTGACCGCCGCGCCGCCGCCCCCACCCCGCCCGGGGCCCTGCGCCTATGCAGCACACGGCCGTGGGGCCCTGGCTGAGGCTGCCCGCCGCTGCCTCCATGACATCGCCCAGGCTCACAGGGCTGCAGCTGCTGCCCGACCCCCCCGACCCCCACCAGTGCCACAGCCGCCCAGTCCTCCTCCCAGCCCGCCCCGCCCAGGCCTGCCCAGGGAGGAGGAGGAGGAGGAAGAGGAGGATGAGCCGACTGAGACAGAGACTTCGGGGGAGCGGCTTGGCGGCAGTGATAATGGAGGTGAGAGGCACCGGGCAGGGGAGGGGTGGCCCCCCTGGGGGGCAGCACTGTTGCTCTCCACCTTGAGGTCGAGTGGGCACCTCAGTCCGCAGCCTGGCAGCCAGACCCAAGTGTTGGGTGGAGCTCAAAAGCAGGCTCAGACCTCTCTCTGAGGGATCCTGCTGTGGTTGGGAGTTGGTGTCCAGGCGTCAGTCACAGGGACGTTAGGGGCCAAAGTGGTGTTCAGAAGTCACCAGACCCATGGGCCACAGCTGAGGGAGCCATGGCCTCTGGAGGTGTGGGAACTGCACATCTGCGGAGCAGCGGGCTCAGAGACGAGGCGGCAGCAAGGTGTGCAGGGAACTTGGAGGTTGCAGAGTGCCCAAAGGCTGGACACCAGGGCTTCAGAATTGGGCAGGAGTTCGCAGGGGCCTTGATGAGAAGTTCCTCGGCTGTTCTTACTGACCGCTGGTTGCCTCAGCATTGTTGGAGAAAACTCCCAAAGCAGGAAGGGTGAGACTCTGGGTTCAAATCCTGGTGCTGACTGCTTACTAGCTGGGGACCTTGCTCAAGTGACAGAACCCATGGTGGCCTGTGGGCTCCATTTGTCAAGTGGGGTCGCAATCACATCCTACTGCAGTCTGCCTTGGTACGGAGTCCCAGTGTCCCAAACAGACCTGCAGGACTTCACTCCACTAGCTGGTTGCTCCAGAGAGTATGGCAGGTGACAGAAGCTGGATTCTACCAGTGACACACAAAAGAGGGAAAGAGTATTTGAGGCAGAGGCTCTGGGTGGGCAGTGGCAGGGCCTGGCATCAGGCGCCTCAGGGGTGGGGCTTCGATGACACCCACAGGGCTCTTTATGATGGACGAGGACGCCACTCTCCAGGATCTGCCCCCCTTCTGTGAGTCGGACCCTGAGAGCACCGATGGTGAGTGGCCCACACTGGTGCTGCCCCAGGAGTTTGGATGAGTTTGGGGACCGAGGCTGAAGGCACCCTTCTCTCGCAGACGGCAGCCTGAGTGAGGAGGCCCCTGCTGGCGCCCCGGCCTGTAATGTGCCCCCTGCCTCAGCCCTGCCCACGCAGCAATATGCCAAGTCGCTGCCCGTGTCTGTGCCTGTGTGGGCCTTCAAGGAGAAGAGGACTGAGGCACGGTCGTCGGATGAGGAGAACGGACAGGTGAGGGGCCACCCAGAGCCACCGCCGCCAGGAAGCACTGAGTTGTGTGCTTTCACCCCAGTCTAATTTGTTTTAGGAATTAGTAGGAATTGAACCCAAGGTATACTTGGTATATACCAGGCCACTGAGCTCCATTCCTATTCCAATTTTTTTGTGGAACCGGGGATTGAACTCAGCCCTTGCACTCGCCAGGCAAGCGCTTATTCTCCTCAGCCATCTCTCCAGCCCCTCTTATTTTATTTTTGAGACAAAGTGGCTCAGGCAAGGCTCAAATTTCAGATTGTCCTGCCTCAGCCTTCCAAGTAACTGGAACTTCAGATGTGGCCCACCATGCCTGGCCTGTTACCCGACTGAATCCTCCCCTCAACCTGGGGAGGCAAGTGCTAGGCCCAGAGGCCTATGCCTCTAACTCCTCTGACACTAGGCTGTGTCCCAGGCCTTGTGGCAAGGCCTGTCCTCTCCCAAAGCAGCTCCGTTTGCCAAAACATGCTGTAGCCAAGGCACAGGTATTTTCGCATCCCTGCCAGATGGGAAACCTGAGGATCAGATCACCTCACACATTCCTGAGCCCCTCTGGTGTCCTGTGCTCTGCCCATTCAGTGCCCTATATGGAATTCTTGGTCTGGCCTTGCTGCCCATCTCTGAAATTCCTGAAGCCAAAGGAAACTGAGGCCCTTGGGCCACATGACTTTCTGGAGTCTGGGCCTAGAAGGGGCAGAGCTAGACCTGGAACCCACCATCCTTCAGAGAAAGAGCTGGGGGCTTCAAAGAGGCCTGGGGCCCAGCGTCTCCCTCAGGCCTCAGTGTTTTTACTCGAACTTCATCGATCAGGGAGTGCGAGAGCCAGGCGTGGGGGTGCATGCCCATAATCTCAGCGCTTGGGAGGCTGAGGCAGGAGGATCACTGGGTTCAAGACCAGCCTGAGCTACATATCAAGACCCTCTACCCTCAAAAGGGAAAGGTTGGGAGTAGAGTTTATTTTGGGGGGGGGGTACCAGGGATCAAACTTAGGACCTTGCGCTTGCCAGGCAAGCACTTATTCCACTGAGCTATCTCCCTGGCCCCCTAGAGTTTATTTAGTATGGAGGACCTGGTTCAAAAAAGTGATGGCCCCACAGGCCGCAGGAGGGCCTGCCAGGCTTCCACCACTCCTGTTAACACAGAGAATCTGATTTCCGCCTCCTGATGGGGCCTGGGCTGCTCATTCAGGGCAGGGGCCACGTGAGGAGAAATCTCTGTCGAGGAGCCGCCTGTCCCAGCAGTCCCTGAGCCTCGACTTCATCTCCGCCCTCACAGGGCATCTTAGCCCCATGTTTCAGGAGATGGAGGCCGAGGGAGGCAAAGACTCCGCTTGACAACTGCTTGCTGACAGAGGTCTGATTGGAACATGAGAGTGCCTGGCCCACATTCTCAGGAGACCCCCCCCACAGTGACAGCGCTTGCACTGCAGGCCACGAAGCCTGCTGGAGAGGGGGGCGTGGTTGGCACAAGGCATCGCCGGGTGCAGGCAAAAGGCGGCAAGATGTTGGCACCCGCCGGCCTGACCCTTCGATTGTGGTCTCCGCAGCCCTCCTCCCCGGACCTGGACCGCATCGCGGCAAGCATGCGCGCGCTGGTGCTGCGGGAGGCCGAGGACACCCAGGTCTTCGGGGACCTGCCCCGACCGCGGCTCAACACCAGCGACTTCCAGAAGCTGAAGCGGAAATACTGAGGCCCCGGGAGGCCACGTCCACCCGCCCCCACACTACACCCCGCCCCGCCCCCAGGCCCGCCCGTCCACGGGCCTGGCCGGCCTCGCGGGTTCCCCGCCCTTCCAGCCCACGGGCTCCCATGCCGAGAGGCGAGAGCTGCCCAGGCGTCTGCTGGGTCTGTTGCCCTCTTCTCTGCCCAGCGACAGATCTTTCAAGGGCACCGAGTCGCGCTCTGGATGGGAGTGTGGCTCGTCCTAAGCCTGTAATGGATCGACTCCGTCGTTTTTCTGCCTAGCGACAATGTGTCGCTCGGCATTGGCTCCATCCCTGAAAGACTACAGCCAAGCTCCAGGATTGGGTAGTCACTTTTGGCCTAGTGACTGGGCAGCGCTTTCATTTGATTGGTTTGAATCTAGTCACCGGCTGGATCAAACCCTGGGGAGTTACCCTCCGCCCTTCCTGAATCCTTAATTGGCTGCAGCCTCTTGGGGTGTGGTCAGGCGGCTCTCCGACCTTCCTGGATCCTCATTCCTGATTGGCTGTGGCCGCTGGGAGGCGTGGTCAAGCCCTCTGGTATACAGAATCAGGCTGAGGCTTAGTTTGCCGTTTTTCTTTTTTACACTACTGGGGCTGGGCTCGCTTTTTGGCCGAGTCCTGACTATTGTACCCCTGACCCCCTCAGGGATGGCTCAGTCCGGTCCCTGCGTCCGACACCCCTCACTGGATCCACCCCACAAAAGCTTGCCAATTGAAGCCGGTCCTTTTATCCAGGACGGCACTAGCTCCCGCCCCTCTCCCCACCCCCACAGGTGCCTTAAAGGCCCCTTGTCCACCCAAGGTGGGGCAGGGAGCCTCACTCTCCGGCCCTGGTGTGGGGGAGAGAGTGGGAGGATCGGGAGTTAGGAGGGGCGCTCTTGAGATTAAAGAGTTTGATAAATGTGAGTTATGGATTTCGTTCAACATTTTCAGAAGCCAAACAGCATTTAATCGATTTTTGGTGTAAGGCTGAGTGTTGGAATTACTGTCTCCATTTTTTGTTTATAGTTTTTCGAAAGGGGGACTTGCTGTATAGTCCAGGCTGGCCTTGAACTCGTGGCGATCCTCCTGCCTCAGCCTGACTTGACTTTGAGTGGATTATAGGTGTGCACCACTACACCTGGCTCGTATCCACATTTTATATATTAAAACATAGAAGGTTCCTTGGGACCAAGGGGAGTACTCTGGTTCTGTGTAATCGTGAAGGCCTAATCTTCAGGTAGAGGACTTTTGAAATCAGAATTAAGGACTCGGCTCCAGAGCCAAGGTTCTCCGGCAAAGTGAGGAACCCCCAGCCGGAGCAGGTGCTACCTGGCTGGAAATTTAGGACGAGGGAAATGTGGGATCGCCGTTCAATTGACATGTGTTTACTCTGTATCTCCTCAACCCTGCAAAGTGGGAGCCGTCATCTACACTTTATAGATGAGAAAACTGCGGCATTGGGAGTACAAAAACAATTTAGTGCTGCGGGGCAGAAGGAAGGGAGGTTTCATTAGCAGAAGCCAAATCTGCCCAGGGGAGAACGAAGTGGAAAGGACAGAGGATCTGCTTCGCCCCCTACTGGCCTAAACTCCATAACGCAGCAGGAGGGATGACAGCCAGAACCGCGGCGGGACTCATTTAAGTACCCATCACGGCGAGGCAACCGGCTGCTGCGCGGGCGGAACCAAAGCCACGCTTCCCTCCCGACCAGTCACTTCTGGCCGCGAGAAGCAGACAGGTGCAGGCCAAGCGCCCGGGCAGGACTTTCCTAGCCCCTAGAAGGCTCTTGAGTTGAAGCGGCGATCGCAGCCGAGTGTGGGTGAGAGCACCGCGACGAGCTCTCGGCCTTTCCTTTGGGAGGTAGGGACCTCCTCATTGGCGGACGGGTGAAGGCGTCGTCGCCTGGGAAACAGCGCCTCAGGCCCGCGGAGAGGCAAGGTTTCCGGAAAAAGTAAGCGGGAGGCGGGACTTCCTAATGGCTGGAGTGTAAGGAGGCGGGACTTCCTGTGACCCAGCCGGGTGTCTTTTCGCTCAGCCTAGAGCATCCACTTCCTCACGGTCAGCTCCCAGGATGGCCCAGGTGGAGGCCCAGGGCCGCCTGTGGCTGGAGAGCCCTCCTGGGGGCGCGCCCCCCATTTTCCTTCCCTCGGACGGGCAAACTGTTGTTCTGGGCCGGGGACCCCTGACCCAGGTCACGGACCGGAAGTGCTCCAGGAACCAAGGTGGGTGGGAGCAGAACCTGCTCCGAGAGCGGGAACGAGCCGGTGGGAAAGGTGCAGTTAGCCGGGAAGGGAATTGCGGGGTGCAGCCAGTCCTGACGTTGAGAAGTGGCTTCTGCGTGGGGAGCACGGGAGGAAAGGTGCCTCAGCTGGACCTAGCCCGGTCCATGGGGGATGTAGCCATTCCTGGAAAAAATGTCGGTGGGCCGAGGGAGATGTGCGCAGGCCTTCTGCGGACCCGAAACGGCACCATCCTCGTGAACAGAGGGTCCTATGGAGGAACAAAAATGTTAGGAGGGACTACACCAGGACAGGCCCAGGACCTGCACCTGTCCGCACTTCGTGAGGTGCCGCAGTTATTCGTCCTAGGGCTGGAGATGCGGCTTCAGGATGGAGCCCTTCCCTAGCCTGCGCGGGGCCTTGGGTTCAACCACCACCCCTCCGGACGCTGGGATCAGTGTCGTAGGCAGTCCTAGGGTATTGACGGCTGCTACACGTCAGAGCCCCAATCCTATTTAGAAATCCGCTGTCTCCTACTTCCTGCTCCCTCCGGAGTACATGGCCTAGTTCCATTTTGTGGCCTGAAGCTGGCCACGCTCCGCAGTAGTGAGACCAGTCACACATAGATGCAAATCCTGACTTCGCTCTCTCACTCCCCAGTGGAGCTGGTTGCAGACCCTGAGACTCGGACGGTAGCAGTGAAACAGGTACTAAGGTTTCACCGAGGGGCAGCAAGGCTGGGGGTGGGATGGGGAGGAAGCCACCAGCAGGGAATATTAGAAACAGCTGATTAGGCTGTGTGCTGTAGCATACAAGCTAGTGGGAGGCCGAGGCAGGCAAGTTCAAGGCCAGCCTGGACAATATAGCAAGACACTATCAAAAATTTGTGAAGGGTGGGATCTGGGCATGGTAGCTTACGTCTGTAATCCCAGCGTGAGGCCAGGGAGGCTCACCATGAATTTGAGGCCAGCTCAGGCTACATAGTGAGTTCTAGGCCAGCTGTAACTATATAGTGAGACCCTGGCTCAAAAACATACCACCAAACAAAAAACAAGGCTACCAGTGCTGGAGTGCTTGTCTGTGAGCAGGGCTCTGGGTTCCAGCCCCCGTAGTAAAAAAAGAAACAAAAAACATGATTGGCTGGGAGAGAAGGGGGTGTGTCCCAGTGTAGAAATCGTCACCTACTTCAGTAGGGTTATCCCTTGTCCGTTTTCTATTGGGCACGATGGAGCAGGTGACCTTTCCAAATCCCCAAGTGATAGTACTCAGTAAAGAGATGGAGTTGAAGGGTCTGATTGGTAGGCTTAAGAAAGGCAAGTCTTGCCTCCAGGTATTTGATTGGAGGAGGTTCCCACTGGGGCTGAGCCAGTCCCTGGTCTTTATTTCTCCGCAGCTGGGCGTTAACCCTTCTACTGCTGGGACCCAGGAGTTGAAGCCAGGGTTGGAGGGCTCTCTGGGGGTGGGGGACACACTGTATTTGGTCAATGGCCTCCACCCACTGACCGTGCGCTGGGAAGAGACCCCCACAGCTGGATGCCAGCCAGACACTCCACCTGGCAGTCCTCCGCTGGCCTCAGACCAGGAGAGAAAGGAAGAGGATGCTGAGCAGAAGAAAAAGAGGATGCGGGTGTCACCCCATGGGTGGGAGAACTTGGAGAAGCTGCTGGTGTTCACGACACCAGGGGTGAAGCCCCGGGGCAAGGTGAGGGCCCTGTCAGGGCAGTACCATTCCTACCACAGACTGCAGAGCCAGTTGTACTCCTGGCAGTCAGCACCCAAAACAGCTTTTTTTCCAGTTTTTCTTTCTGTGATCATAAGTCCCTGAGGTGGTGCGTGGTGGGGCAGTGTAAGATACTCATGTAAGTAGGAGCAGAGCGATGCAGTGTGGCAGGAGGTCTGTGGTCAGCAGAGGTGGTAGGGCCACATTCCCAGACCACTACATCCTTCCTCAGGACATAAGGCCCAGTGACCCAGTTTCTCCATCTCTGAGCTAGGGTTACCCTTGCCTCACAGGACCAGTGTGCCTCCCCTTTGCGTGAGCAGAGGTGTCACATGCTGCTCTTCCATGTTCTCACAACCCCAGGTGGCTGCTTTTGATCTAGACGGGACCCTAATCACCACCCGCTCTGGGAAGGTCTTTCCCACAAGCCCTAGCGACTGGAGGTGAGGAAGGGTGGGGACAGGAGTGATGGAAGCTGGCGTCGCCCAGGCTCTGCTCACCCGACCCTTCCACCGCCCTAGGATCTTGTACCCAGAGGTTCCCAGGAGACTCCAGCAGCTGGACACAGAGGGCTACAAGGTTCGTCCCTGTGCATGTGTGTGTGTGATGTGCACATGGGGCCAGACTGCCGGGGCTGCGGACCAGGCCTGGGTGACACCGTGTGCTCCACAGCTGGTAATCTTCACGAACCAGATGGCCATCGGGCGAGGGAAGGTGCGAGCAGAGGATTTCAAGGCCAAGGTGGAGGCTGTGGTGGAGAAGCTGGGTGTCCCCTTGCAGGTATGGCTGACGGGCAGCTCCCAGGGGCTGGCCAGGGTGAGCACTAAGAGACCAGAACAGTGTTTGACCCAACACCACACAGGTGCTAGTGTCCACACACGCGGGCCTGTGCCGGAAGCCATTGACAGGCATGTGGGAGCATCTGCAGCAGCGGGTGAGTGTGTCCCTGTCCCCTCACCTCCATACTTAGCCCCCACGGTCTTCAGCTAGCATGTCCCAGGAGGGGGCATACGAAGGCAGTGTGCTCTGGATTGTAGAAGGCGATGCCCCCCCACACACACACTTACTCAGTTGTTTTTTTTTTTTTTTTAATTTATTTGTTTATTTGTGTGTGGGGTGTGTGTGTGTGTGTGTGTGTGTGTGTGTGTGGCCAGCTCAGCCCACCAGGGGGCGGGGCTGGCTGGCATATGGTGCTGGGGGATCGTACCGTGGTCCCTGCGCTTTGCTAAGCTTGTTCTAATTATGTGCTTTAGACCACTGAGCCATCTCACCAGCCCAACTTACTCAGTTTTGAGGCCCACTAATACCTTGGGCTGGAAACCATGCTGGCCCTGGAGTACGCAGGTGCTGTGCACATCGCCAGCCCATGTGGGTTAGCTGACATTGACCCAGGGCAGGCCAGGTGAAGCTGTGTGGTTCTAGGTCCATGGTCAAGAACAGCCTGAGTGTGCTGTGTCTACAGCAGTACAACAGTGCAGAGCCTGTGCTGAGCCCAGTAAAGAGAGGGCGAGGATTGGGTGAGGCAGAGGCAGGGCAGACCCCAGAGACAGCACTGACTGCCTGAGGGGGAACAGGCACCCCATGGGGACCGCGCAGGTAACTGCGAGCCAGGTCCTGGCCAGGGGACTCTGGACAGGCCCAAGGTGCACGCTGGGGGTGTGAGCAGGGGCTGGGTGTGGGATTTGAGTCAGGCTGGGTACAGAACAGAACAGCCACCTTATGTGCTGTGGGAAGGCTTCACACTGTCTCTCTTCCTAGGCCAACGATGGCGTGTTCATCTCCCTCGGGGACAGCATCTTCGTGGGAGGTGAGTGAGGGGCTGGGTGGGGTGGAGGGGGACCCCTGAGTTGCTGGTGGATGAGGGTATGTCCCTCTGTGTTCCAGATGCTGCAGGCCGCCCAGCTAACTGGGCACCCGGGCGGAAGAAGAAAGACTTCTCCTGTGCCGACCGCCTGGTGAGCTCCGTCCTGCCTGTTCCTGGGTCCCCGCCTGTTCCTGGGTCTCCGCCAGAGGTCCCTGCCTGCTGCCTGACCTATCCCTTGGCCTGCAGTTTGCCCTCAACCTCGGCCTGCCCTTCTCCACTCCTGAAGAGTTCTTCCTCAAGTGGCCGGTGGCCCGCTTCGAGCTCCCAGCCTTTGACCCGGTGAGACCTCCAAGCAGCCTCAGCCTCACCCGTTAGCTCTCCCAGCCTTTGACCCTGAGGCTGGGGGTCTCACACTGCTTGTCATCCCCAGAGGACCGTCTCCCACGCGGGGCCGCCCTTCCTCCCGGAGAGCAGCTCACTCCTGAACTCGGACCCAGAGGTGGTCGTCGCCGTGGGATTCCCTGGGGGTGAGATGCCCTGGCCCTGACCCCCCGCTGCCAGCCAGGCCCCGCAGCCCACTGACGGCCCTCGCCCCTGGCAGCCGGCAAGTCCACCTTCCTCCAGGAGCACCTGGTGTCCGCCGGCTACGTGCACGTGAACAGGGTGCGTCCGCTGCCCCGCGAGCCCCCGGTCTGCCCTCTCCCCGCTCCCGTCCGTCCTGACCTCCCCCTGTGCCCCAGGACACGCTGGGCTCCTGGCAGCGCTGCGTGAGCGCGTGTGAGACAGCACTGAAGCAGAAGAGACGGGTGGTCATCGACAACACAAACCCGGACGTCGCGAGCCGGGCCAGGTATGGGGTCCCCAGGGAGGCCGCGAGAGGGCAGGAGGCCTGGTGACAGCCCCAGCTTCCCTGCCCCTACAGGTACATCCAGTGTGCCCGAGATGCGGGTGTGCCCTGCCGCTGCTTCCTGTTCACAGCCACGCTGGAGCAGGCGCGCCACAACAACCGGGTAAGCCCCGCCCTCTGCTGCCGGCCCCTCCCCTCCGCCCCGCCCTCTGCTGCCGGCCCCGCCCCTCAGCCCCGCCCTCTGCTGCCGGCCCCGCCCCCCACAGGCCCCCCTCATCGTCCCCCCCCCACATCCCCGCAGTTCCGTGAGCTGACCGGCTCCTCTCACGCGCCTGTGTCGGATATGGTCATGTTCGGCTACAGGTGAGGCCACTGGCCAAACAGGCGGGTGCGGGGCAGGCAGGGCCGGGTCTCCCCCCTCACGGCCCCTCTGCCTCCAGGAAGCAGTTCGAGGCCCCGGCGCTGGCGGAAGGTTTCTCCGAGATCCTGAAGATCCCGTTCCGGCTGCAGTTGGAGCCGCGGCTGGAGCGGCTGTACCGCCAGTTCTCCGACGGCTGAGCCCCAGCCCGGCCTCCGCCCCCAGCCTGCCCCACACAATAAATGTTGTTCTCTGTACGCCTGGCCCACATCTTCCAGGGAGGGTGGACCTCCTGGGGGGTGAGACCCGAAGCCTGAGCTAGCTGGCTGGGTGCGGAGGCTTCTATTTGTTATCTGCAGATGGAACCCCGGAGACGGGAGGAACAAAAGGGCCCCAAGCCTGCTCCTGCCCGCCTCCCGCGCGGTCGGGCTCTGGAGCTTTAGACCACAGCCGTGCTCACACCGCCTGTGCCGCACCCTAACCACTTGGGTCCTGCAGGAGACAGGCTGCTGGCGCCAAGTGGAGCCCTCCAGAGCCAGCTGATGCCATACGCCCCCGCCCAGGGCTCAGTCCCAAGTGGCCCCTAAGGCCAGACTCCCAGGACACGGGTTCCGTGACACTGAGCTTGAGCCCAGGGGATGATGCAGGCCTGCGCTTCTGCACACTGTGGTGGACCTGATCCCGCTACGAGGAAACCCCTCCGGCACCTGCACAGGGGACACAGGCGCACAGCCGCAGGGGCAGAGGGACGTCACACCTGCATCTTGGTGTCGGTGAGATAGACAGGCTTCCTGCCGCCATTCCCTGCTCATCACGGTGGGGCACAAACCAAGCAGGCACCTTACAGTGCCACACTCACACGTGGCTGCTCTCCCGTCCATCCTGCCTGCCTTCCCCCGGAGCCTTCAGAACCACCCTAGGCCGCTGCCACACACCCTGGGAGCCACAGCAGGTTTTTAAAAGGCTTTATTAGATAAACACGGGTGGGAAATGTCCTTGGAACGCTCAGGACACCGACCTCCACGATGCGGGGCAGTTAAGGTCCCCAGAGGCCCCCTGCTCAGAAGCATCTGACCTGGGAGCAAGGACATAGTGGGAGGGACAGGACCAGGGCACAGGCCCCTCCACCTGCTCCACCTAGCAGGCCTCCAGGGAATGTGGGAAGGGCCCCTCTGGAGACCACCAGACCTGTGGTGCCTCCCCAAGATCCCTGTTCCCTGCCCATGGGGACTGTAGTGCCTCACTCTAGTCATCCTAAGGCCAGGGTCCCCCTGCTTTCTGACACCCCTGGGCAGGTCTGAGGGTCTGCAGGTCTGTGCTCAACAACAGGGAGGCCACTCACCAGTCTGCCAGGGCTTCTTTGGCAACTCCTGGAGGGCCAGGCCGGACCTCTACCCGCCCATCTGTGGAGGAAGCCAGGGAAGGGGTCAGCGGGAGGGGGGACACAGGGCTGGGGACCATGGGGCCGGCCTCACCCCTCGCTGCTGCTGCTCCTGCTCCAGGTTCCGCTGAAGGACCTGCTGTTGATTGGCTATGACGTGCTGGATGCCACTGAAGAAGTTGTCCTGGTCATGGGGGATGAGGCCGATGAAGATCTTCTTCTCCGAGGAGTACAGCAGCATGAGCACGCACACCTCGCACACAGTCCTGTAGGAGAAGTGCACGCAGCCGGCCTGGCGGGCGAGCGAGCATCACTCGGGGTGTCCGGCCCCACCCCACAGTCCCATCTGGAGGATGTGGACACAGGCATAGAGTGACAGTGGCCAGGAACTAGGAGGCTCCAAAGCGGCACCCGCTGAGAGGGCTACCAGCTCCCGAAGGCCAGGTGGCTCTCTGCAAAGCACCAGGCCCCGCCAGGACTGCCGCCACGCACACAGGTGTCATGGGCAGGCCGGGTGCTTGGAAGCAGTGCTGACACTGCTAACCAGGGACGCCTGAAGATGGGCCTCATGGGTCCTGCACAAGGGACAACTTCTCACCTTACAGAGGGGAAACAAGCCAAGAGGGAGAGGGACCTGAGGGCCCCCAGGGAGCTATGTAGGACAGCAAGGCCCTGAGACACACCACTTGGAGTGCTGCCAAGGGAAGTATGGCAGCATCAGGACAAGTGTCTCCAGCGGCCTGGACACCAGAAAACCAGGCAAATGTTGCCAGCAAAGGCACAGCAGTACGCAAGGCCAACCCTCCCCATGCGGACAGGGCCCAAGGCCCAGACTCGGCACTTCCCAGGGGCTGGGGGAGCCTTGGGGATGGGACAGCCTCGAGCCTGGGTTGCGCTTGGAGGAGCCCAGGCTGAGGAGCGAGGCCCTAGGACTGCAGCTGCTGCCCTGCACCAAAATCCACCTGCTTTCCCTCTGTACCCAGGGATCAGGACAGCCCGCCCTCAGCGCAACGGACGCAACGCACCACTCCCCTCGTCGCCCGCCCCTCCAGATGGGCTGGGGCCAGAGAAGTGGTAGCTGCACACCCCCAGCTGCCCAGCCACCCTGCATCTCTCAGAGGCCACACTACTCACAAAGCCATTGTCCATGATCCGGCACAGGCTCTTCAGTGTCTCCACGTCCTTGGTGAAGTGGAACTGCACAAGGCGCGAGTTCCGGAACAGCGGCACCAGGGTAGTCTGCGGGGACGCCAGCTAGCACCGTGGGCCCCCGTATCTTGCTCCTGCCCCCCAATAGCAGCTGGCAGTAGGCCGCAGTGACCCGGCTCTGACACCGTCCTTGCCACTCACCAGGAGCTGCTGCGGGATGAGGTGCATGCGCAGCTTCCTTGGCCACTGCTCGGTCCTCCTAGGGGACAGAGGACAGCATCAGGCAGGAGCCCTGCTGGGGCACAGCCCCAGCCCCAGCCTACCACTCACAGGATCTCTCCTTGGTTCACGTAGACATGTGATGACAACCACCTCCTGGGTTGACTGCTGGGCTCAGGCCTGAGCTTTGGGGGACAGGAAGGAGGTGACCTCAGCAATGGGGATGCCACAGGGCAGCAACCCACACATTGAGCCAGTGCCCTGTGCTGGCACAGAGCTTACCTCCTGCCACTCCATGATGCCGCTCCAGGCCAGGAACTTGTTGTTGATGATCTGGACAGGGCCCGAGTGGACACTGCCAAGCCCCAGTGCCTGTGGGAGTGGCGGCAGACAGGCTAGGAAGGACCCTCCCCACTGCTCTCCCTCCATGCCCTGCTCCCCAAGACAACTTACCCCCAGCATCCCACGCACACAAAGCCCACGTCTGCTCCTGGGAAGTGGCAGCCATGTGCTCTGTGTCACATGGCGCCCCTGCCAGGTCCCCGCGACAAAGCTTCCCTGCTCCTCCGACCTCATGGAAAGCCCTGGGGGAGGGAACCCTTTGCCACGCCGTACCGCCCACCCCTTCTCCGCTCTCAGGCTGCAGGGGGGCACACCTGCTTGTGGGTGGTGATAACCTGCCGGATGGCATTGATGAAGCCCCTCTGGTCATAGGGGATGATGCCCATGAAGATTTTCTTCTTGGTCGAGTACAGCAGTATGAGCACGCGCACTGCACAGGGGGAGACGTAGGGGAAGGGCATGCAGCCAGCCTGCGGGAGGACCAACAGTGGTCAGCACCAGGGGTCCGCCCTCACACCAACCAACCATCCTGCCTGGCACTGAGGCCGAAACACAGCCCTTAAGGTCAAGACCATGGTCCGGGGGACCTGCCCATTAGCTCAGTTGTTGAAGTGACTGCTTAAACAAAGCAATCAGGACGCTGTTGTTGGATCCCCAGATCCTCAGGTCTTACCAGACATGCCCTGAAGTCATCCTGAGCCAGCAAAAAAAAAAAAAAGAAAAAAAACTTCTGAACTTAGAGTAAGTGCTTGCCTGGCAAGCACAAGGGCCTGAGTTCAATCCCCAGTTCCGCCAAAAAAAAAAAAAAGACCATGGTCCAGAGTGGGCATGGTGGCGCCAGACTGGGGATCACCTTCAGTTCTATACAGCCTGGCCTGCATGGTGAGACTGTCTCACAAAGCCAAAAACAAAAAACAAGACCGTCACCCTAATGAGGCAAATGAACCCTGGGCCAGGCTGTAGGGGGCGAACAGCTCTGCCAACTTAGAGGTCTGTGGCCCAAGGAAGCTGCCCTCTGTTGTAGGACCCTGACTTTCCCATCTGTAAAATGGGCTGACTGCAGCACACACAGTGCTACATAAATGCTCCCTAAGTGGGGCAGCACGGCCTCTTCAATGGGAAGCAGGCAGATGGGGGCCTGACAAGACACCCCCAGGGCATCTGGACAAAGGTGTGTCCGAGTACCCCATTGGCCACCTGATACTGCTCAGCATTGTCACCTCAACTTCTGGTGCTGGGGCTACCCACTCAGTCTGTCCAGGCCATGCTGCACCCCGCAGGTGACCCCAGGGTCACCAGCCCTGCTGCAGCTGGGCCACAGGGAGCAGCAGCTGCACAGATGGAGGTGTCTTGGCAGGTGTGCCCTCGGAAGGGGGGTGGCTGACTCTAGGAAAGGATCAACTACCCCAGTGGGGGCCAGGGACTGGCCATGAGCCAGACCCAAGTCCCCTGGGCACTGTGGACCATGACTCACCCACTGCCACCTCTACTACCACCTTTCTCCCCCTCAGAGGGTCAGGGATGCTGCTGAGCCACAGCTGAGGGGGGCAGCACAGCCTCAAGGACCAGGCTCTCACTTCCTCAGCCACCTTCCTAGAAATCCCAAACTCTGACCATGTCCCAGCCCACGTTTATGAAGCATCACTACAGGCTAGAGCCCTAAGTGTCTTGCCTCTGTGGACGTGGTGTTAGGGACTGGACCCAGGGCCTCTGCACTGAGCTACATCCCTGTGTGACAGGGTAGCACTGTGTTTCCAGGCTGGGCCTGAATTTGCAATCCTCGTACCTCAGCCTCCTACAGTGTTGGGTTATATGCTCACTTAAAGTCCAGTTTTAAGCACTATTCACAAATACGCTCTTCTCAAGAACCTCACCGAGTAAGGCCTACTGGTAGCTCGACCTCACAGATGAGAAAACCAAGCTGCCCGAGCTCTTCTCCCTCCCCTACCACAGCCCTCCAGCAGGGCCCTCCCCAGGAGTCACAAGCCAGCGGCTTGGCACAGATGCAGGGGCTTGGGGCGGTGTGACAGGCTGCATTCCTTTCCCCTTAGCCTGCTGGGAGTCCCTCAGAGGGATGCTGAGCTACAGAAGGGGCTCTAACCCCCACAGTGTGCACCAGGCTCCCCAGCCCAACTCACAAAGCCATTGCCCATCACGCGGCAGAGCCCCTGGAGCGAGTCACAGCCTCTGTTGGTGAAGTGGAACTGTGCCAGCTGGGAGTTGCGGAACAGAGGGCCCAGCGTGGTCTGGAGGCAAGGGGACAGCGGGGTCACCACAGGGCGAGAGGCACCCGGGGGCAAGCGGGCTGGGCAGGCAGGGGTGCATCTCACCAGCAGCTGCTGTGGGATGAGCTGCATGATCAACTTCTGTGGCCACTGGTCCGTCTTCCTGCAGGGAAGAGCGGGTCAGGGCGCAGGGGGCTGCCAACCCGCCACCCTGATACGCTGGACACTCACAGGTTCTCGCCTGGGTTCACATAGATCTGGCAGGGCAGGGTCCGCTTCAGCTTCGCTGTGGAGTCAGAGTAGGGTCTGCGCTTCTGTGGGCAGGGAGGGGTGTCACAGACACAGCCTTGAGCCTGAGGACAGCCCGGCCCGCACCGGGACCCCAGCAGGCCTGGCCAACCGGCTCACCTCCTGCCACTCCAGCACTCCACTCCAGGCCAGCAGCTTGTTGCTAAGCTGGTGCTCACTGACAGCCAGCCCCCCAAGGGACTGCCCAGGCGAGGAGGGCCCAACGGGACCCAGCACTCCGGAGACATGGCCGCCTCCCTGCAGCAGAGAGGGGAGGAAACTGAGGCGGGAGACCTACAGAAGACTGTCCTCACACACACCAGAGGGGGCGTCCCTGCATTCAGAGCCCCCTCTGCAAACTCCCTGGGCCTTGTCCAAACACCCCTCAGTATGATGGTCAACACCCCCATGTCCTTTGCCTGCACCTCCCGGAACCCTCTCTCTCTGAAAATGCTGTCCCACACAGCCCCAACCACGGAGGCAGCCTGTCCCATCCCCATGCACGCCACCTGCGCCTGCAGGCTGGGACGCCTCTCATGCCTGTCAGGGGACATCTGACATCTGCAGGTGTATTCCAGACCCTACTTGGATGCCAGCAGAGGCCTTCTCAGTCTCACACACCAGTGACATTAGGAACCTCTGTGGGGGGCTCTCTGTGCTCACCAGAAAAGTTCAAATGCCAGCTCTGGACCCCCAGCCTCCTTGCTGACCCAGCAGCTGGCAACCAGAAGACCAGACCACGCGTAGCTGCCGCTTTCCCTGCGCTGTTCTTTCACCTTGCCTTACCCGGCTGAAGCTAGCTCTGCAAAGCCAGTTTCTCTCTCTCTCTCTCTCTCTCTCTCTCTCTTTTTTTTCCAGAACCAGGGATTGAACTCAGGCCCTTGTGCTTGCCAGGGAAGCACTTATTCCACTAAGCCATCTCCCCAGCCCCTTAGCTATACTTCTTTCAAATAAACTTTGACATTGCTTTGAAAAAAAGAACAGAACTCTCCAGAAGCAGGTGTGACATACTCTCCGATACACTATCAAAACCCCCCAAAACACTACAGATCATTTCTCACAAGGCACAGCCCAAGCGGGTGAATTTAAACCAGAGACATCCCAAGTAAAGGGAGGGGGGAGGCTTCAGAAGAATCTGAACACGGGAAACGCAGGGGGTAAAAGCTCAGCAGCACGTACTTCCGGATGAGAAAAAGTGTAAGGGGGATGGCCTTTAGTCTTTTTAACCTTTAGTCTTATTACTAGGGATTATCTCCTAATTTTCTTACAAAGCAGAGTTCCCTTATCCAACAATAAAACAGGTAGATTTTATTTTGTTGGGGCTCAAGAATAAAAAACTGAATAAGCATGCTCTCCACTTGGGGACCCTCGGGGCAAACATCTGAGAAGTGGTGTAAGTGCCAGGAGCTGGTGGGTCCCGAGACAGGTGCGGAGGTCCAGTCTGCAGCTGCCCGCCACGGCTTTAGCCATCTAGGCAAATGCATCGAAGGCCACCTGTGCCACCCAAGACACTGAATCACCATGTGCCTGGACCTGGGCTGTTTTGGAAGAGTACAAACGCATGGCCACATGTGTATGTGTTTACCGTCATGCACATGGGCTGTAATACCAGGAAACACAAGGTCTAACATAAGCTCCAGTGACAATTCAGCTCTGCTTGTCTGGGTGGGGACGTTGACCGCTTAGGACCACAAGAACCTTTGGGTCAGGTGCCCCAGAGGGTATGTAAAACCAGAGGCACTGACCTGAACATCACACGCACCTGCAACAGGCTAAGCACAGCCCTGAAGGAAACCTCGCAAGAGATAAGTGTGTGCACAATTGTGCTGACTCGCTGCTTCCTGTACAGCGATGTGAAGTTAGTACCAGAAGAGAAGTTTACAGCTTTCTACGTGTGCTTGAGGACCAAGGAAAGCAGTCGGGCGTGGTTAAGTTTCAGAGGTGCTTAGAGTTCTACTGATGGGCAAGATCTGGGTAGCCAATTGAGGAAGTCAGCTTGGCCACAAGCCCGGGGGAAAATCTCACATCTGGACAAATGTGTGCATGACTGGACTTCCTGTGAAACATCGTGACGTGCTTTCAGAACCCCAAGTAAATCTTTCTCAGATTCTCGAAAAGTATGTACCTGTGTCAGGTCTAGGGATGCGTGCGTGCCGCCTCAAGTACCTACAAATCTGAACAGCTACTTTTAAAGTATGGGCTCAATGCACTTCATAAAGGTATCCCACATCTGGATTTGAGTGAATTCCGGGTGCGCATGCCACAGGCACCAGTGGGGCACAGGAGAGAAGCCCCTGGGGCACAACACCTACTGGCATGTGTGCAAAACAAGGACTCGCATACACACCGTTGTCCTCTAGTCCCCCTCTTCCATTTCCAGATTTCCAGGTCAGAGAACAAACCAACTTTTCATTTTACAAAACCAACCCATGCGCCGGATGTCAGTCCTCCCGCTCCCACCCCGAGTTTAAAGCGCTCCCACCCCGAGTTTAAAGCGGCCGCGGTGTCAGCAGTAATTTGAGCCCATCTCACCCCCGTACCCCATTCCCCCACCCAGCCCGGCACGAAGCACGACAAAGGGGAGAGCCTGGCGCGCCCCTGGGGGAACCCGCTCCAACACGACTACCCTTGGGGCCGCTGCGGAGACCCAGGACGGAGGGGACACGGACAAAGGCGTGAGCTAGGAGAGGGGCGGCGGGGGTGGGGCCGTGGAAGGCTCTCGAAGAAGGGCGGGGGGCTCACCATGGGAGGGGCGGAGCGGGCCCGGATCCGCGGCGGCTGCGGGCCCCGGGGGCTGGCGGGCCAGGAGCGCGAGCGCACCGCACGCACCACCAGCGGCCTCCGGGCGCGGCCGCGACTCCCCAAAAGGCCCCCAGGGCCGGAGCGGTGTGGGGCGCGGCGCGGACGGACCATAGCGGGATCGGAAGGCGCGCGCTGGGGTCACCGCGGGCCACTCGGGGGTATGCGGGCTCCACGGACAGAGGGGTGCGAGCGCGAGGCTTCAGGGAGACGGGCTGATCTGTAACAAGTGCGGGGAGCCGCGCCGCCTGCTGGGCTGCGGCGGCCAAACCACTGCGCGGAGCGGGGGAGCCTGGCGCGTACCAACCGCATCCTGAGGGGGTGTGGTCGGAGCGTACCAAGGGGAATCGACTGCGCCTCTGGAAAAAGGGCGTGTGTGGGAGAAACGGCAAGGGGAAAACACTGGGTGGCTCTCCAGCGCAGGAGGTCGTGCGACCCAGAAATGACGTGGGGGGCGTGATGAGAGCGAAAGACCGCACCAAGACAGGGATGAAGCCAGGCGATACCAACTCAGCTTCACTGAATGTCACTGGAATGCGGAATCAGGAGCTTACACCAAAAACCCACCCATGAAAAAAGAAAAAAAAAATTCCCAATGAGGAAGCGGGGTGGTCAGAATAATGGTTTTTGAGAGTAAGAGGACCCTCCAAGAGGCGTGCGTGTGACTGGCATCACGCAGGTCTGTAGAGGGGATGCGGTTATGTGGGCAGGGAACTACAACCCCCAGCAGCCCTTGCACAGCCCCAGCAGCCCGGCTGTTCCAGGAGCCGCGTGCCCATTGGTCACTGCACTCAGCCCCGCCTACCGCCCCCTGCCCCACCTCCAAGTTCTTGGCCTGTCAGGTCTCCCCCAAGGCTGTCTGCTTATTCCCGGCGCCTACTCAACCAAAGCGACTGCGTAGTTTGTTAGGCGTGTGAAAGTTGTTTTTTCAAACCTTAAGAGTGGTTATGAGGCGCGAAAGTGAATTTAATAATAAAACTTAAGAATCCATGCTTGCGACAGCCAAATAGCTCAGCGGATTAAAGCGCCTGCTTGAGGGGCCGGGGAGATGGCTCAGTGGAATAAACGCTTCCCTGGCAAGCGCAAGGGCCTGATTCTGCAAAAAATAAATAAATAAAAAATAAATCTCCTGCTTGGGCAAACGCAGGGCCCGGGTTCGATCCCCGGCTTGCCGTTCCGGCCCCGACCCCGGGGCGCGCTGAGCCGGCCATTGAGACTGGATGTGGTGGCGCACGCCTATAATCCCAGCTTTGGGGAGGCTGAATACAGGCGGATCACTACGAGTCCGATCTACATAGTGAGACCCTGTACTACAATTAATATATATATTAATAGTAGTACCTGCCCACTTTTACAGTGGGCAATGAGTATACTGCTATGATCAATTTACGCCAACACCACCCCGTTTGGGTCTGTGATCACTAACACATTTGCAAGTAGGCTGGTGACCAGAAGGAAAGTTTTGGAAACGTAGTGAAGTGCCCTTTGGATGAGAGAATGTGCTAAAACGAGGAGAGGGCAAGTGGGCAGAAATGAAGGGGGGACCGGCACAGAGGGGCAGGGAAGGAGGGCGCGAGGAGGGCGCTGGCCAGCCTGCGGGAAGGGGTCTGGGAAGGGGCCTGGGGAACCTGGCACTTTCATTGGCACTGTGAACAAATCATTCCCGGAATACACAGCACCACACAGCCTCCACGCCGCTGGGATCGAGCGCCCTCCTAGGAAGGCAGGGAGATGGCAGGGTGAAGGACACAGGGACACGGACGGCATGGAGGCTCGATTTGCTCCCTGGAGCTCTTACACAGTGAATGTTGTCTGCTAAAGGGTTAACATTTTGCAGGCTCTTTTTACAGGCTCCCTCCAGCTTCCATGTTGAGAAGCCAACTGCCTACTAAGTGGAAGCCGACCCGGCTGGGAAGATGGATGGAGGGCTCCTGGCTGCAGTGGCCGAGGGACTGCTCAGTTTTACAGTGGATTTCCGAGTTAAAGAGCAAAGGACTTGTGCAGAGACAGTTTTGCCTGTATAAGGATTGCACTGGCTGAATGAAAATGGTAAAATTGCCATTTTAAGGGGAGGTTGTGAGACCAGGTCGCGCCCTGTAAGTCAGGCTGGTCTTAAACTCACCATGTAACCAGGCTAGCTTCAAACTCAGGCAGTCCCTGCCTCAGCCTCCTGACAGTGGGCTTGCAGCCGTGCGCCACCACACCTGGGAGGACTTACGTGTTCCAGCTCCCGGTGCCCTGAGAATTACTGAATCCAGACCACTTACTTGAGCCCTGGCTGCCGTTCCGGGTGAGCTCATGCTTTCTTCCCCCTTCCTGCTCTCTACTTAATTAAAGCCTGCTATTCCTTTGGACCCATCCAGCCACATGTGTGAGATGAATGCCCAGGATTTATACACATGGACAGAAGTGTCAGGACCCTCCAGGGCGAGCAAATGGAAACACGTCAGGCGGCCACTAGTGCCCTGTGCACACCCATGTTGGGAGCAGCACAACTCACAGTACCTCAATTTTGGAAGCAGCCTACATGTCAATGATGGCAGACCCTTTAGTGCTTTCAGTGATAGAAACAGCCCACTATGGAACACCTGCCTCCGAGGCAGTCATCGGCAGATAACTGAACAAAGACAACGTGGTATTTACGGTCAGTGGCATACTACTGCACCATGGGGAGGAACGTAGGTCATCTGTAGGGAAATGCACCTCGA